ACCTTAATTGTTATTTTAGGGTTTAGGGTTTAGTAGGTGAAGCATTTTATAAGAGGTATTTATATGGCTCTTTTTGGTGTTTGCTACAACATGAATAGGATTTTTATCATATTCTTGTTATAATACTCTTTTAAGAATGGTTGCTTCGATTTGTACCGCTACAATGGATTTTTGTGTTAATTAGTTTTTGGATTTTCCCTCTTTCTTGAAAATTTTCATTGTTCCTCATGCTTGTGGAAAAAATAAAGGTCTTTAAATTCAGTATTCGTAATAATCGTAAATGTTTTGAGAATCTAATAATCAACTATTCATGATGGATCTTCATAATGTATGAGGAGTGAAAATGCATGATATTTATGGTTGATTTGATTATGAATACTTTGTAAAATAGTAGGTTTTAAGTGGCGGTTTGGTTTGCGCTAAATTCCGATTCCTTTGGAATTCTTTAAATTTCATTGTATTCCACAAATAAATGAATTCATCATTCCTTGCCATAATGGAAGAAGAATTCCATTCCCACCTACTATGACCATGCTACTATTGTTCGTCTTGCCTCACGCCNCCAACCACCACATCACTACTGTTGCCGCCACCCACCTAGCCCACCACTAACCACCATGCCACTATTGTTGTCATCATACCCACCCATCCCCTGATCATTCATTGCACATCTCTACTATGACCATGCTATTATTGTTACTGTCACGTCCTTAACCTAACCCCTACCACCACACCATTATTATCGCTGTTACAACTACTACTCACCCCACCCTACCTTACCCCAACCTAAGACGAACCACCATGCCACTACTGTCGCCGTCATACCTACCCACTCCCAGCCACCGACCACCATCCCACCACCGTCATTGTCACAGCCTACACCCTGCCACCCATCCCCACCGTCCCGCCCTACTGCCCCACCCTACTGCCCCACCCTACTGCCCCTAACTTAACCCCCCACTCTCACACCACTATTTTCGCCTTCACAAAAACCATGATTTTGAAACCATATGGACAAAGAATCGCATTGCCAAATATGATAAGTTGCGGTTTATAGGTTTTGTATCTGATGCAGTTCAATCCACTTCAAAATAAATTTGACGATTATGCGTCCATGAAATTCCAATACGCCCCAAACATATAATTACAAATGATATAAAGCAAACAAAAAACGAGTAACTAAGCTAAACATGTCTGAAAATTAACTAGAAAATAAAAACGACAATGAAATGTGGCATATCCATGCATTTTCTTTCATCTCGATTCTCGACTCCTAATAATTTAGGAAAAGTCCAAAAATCCCCAACAAACTTTCTCATTTTGAATAGTTTAGCTGAATGAAAAAATCATTAAACTTTCTCATTTTGAATGATTAAATTCATAAACTATTTTTTTGAATGAAAAAGCCATTAAAATTTTCCATTTTTATTGATTAAGACCTTGAACTTTTAAAAAATAAAAATAAACCATCAAACTTTTACTAGTCGGTTAATGTAACTTTTCCTGGGTTAAAAAGATGTATGTGAACAATTTTTAAACATATGATGGTTTATTTACTAAAAAAATGTTCAAGGACTTGATCAATGAAAAAGAAAAAAATTAATGGTTTTTTCATTTAAAAGAAATAATACAAAGACTAAACCATTCAAAATAAAATTTTTTATTGGATGCTAAATTGAATTCATTGAATAGTCAAACTTAAAAGGGCACTGGAAAAGTAATTATGATTAATAATGCATAAAAATTAATGCTGATGTACATGTGTGGGAATCTATAATGTATAAAAAATATGTGGTAGGGCTTGAATTGTGATTTAATAATTTAAAATCGCTATTCATACTATAAATACAGTTTGATAAAATATAAATCACAAACTACACTGTAAAGATTCAATATTATGTGATATGGGCTGTTTAAATGGTTTGACAGTTTCGATAAACACGTTAGACAAGCATTACCTTCAAATATAGATACCGTTACAACCAGTAGGACTAATTCTCGCATGCACAAATAAAATCATACTGTTAACCAATTATTCTAAGCATATCAACACGTATGAACTATATTGAAAACATATATTTCATATCAGAGGGTCTGTAGTTTAGCGGTATCGTAGTTTTTGGTTTCCTAGGAGATCATAGGTCAAACCTTATCAAAGATGATGAGAAGGGTATATGAGTTTATTTATTACATTTACCGTATATTTATACTTAAATTTTATGTTTTACAAAAAAAAAAAACATTATCACTTTCTCAAAATCATATAAAACCATATTATATTGACATATATAAATAATAAAATGAGATATTGAAATCAAAATATGTATCAATGCATTGCACGAGTACCCTTCTAGTTATTATTTTATTGTTTTGACTAACTGTATTAATTTTTAATACTTAATATTTATGTTTTATTCATATTAATGTTTAATTATTATTTTGTAGATAATCATAATTTAAAATGTTTAAAATAATTATTCATGTTAGAGGTTTCCTAAATAAAAATAAAATAATAAAAATTAATTAATGTAAAAGGATAATTAGTTTTTGATCTCATGCATGCAACTCACGATAATTTACGATCTTTAATTTATTTACAACTTATATAATTTGTAGAAAAATAATTATTTTTTTAATAATAATTTATCTACATTAAATAAAAATAATTATGAAAAACCAACACAATACTAAAACAACATATAAGAAAATACAAAATAAAGTAACTAGATTTGATTTATATTAATACATAATAAAGTATTATATATATAAATCAAATTTAAAAGTAAATTGTTATTTACACCTATTATCTATTAAAAAGTCAAAATAGATCGAGAAATAACATTAAATGACATAAATGTTTGAAAATTTAGATCATTTCACCTCTCTTTTTATCTCTTATGTCCCCTCTCTTTCTATTTTTTGTTTTGTTTTATAACTAATAGATAATAATAATTATTAGTCTATAATAATTATAATTTTTATTTGTATTATATATTAATCAATCTAAAAATCAATAAACTAGAAAGACAATATGCATTGTTACTTATAAAATAATATATCACTTATTTTATAAATTTTAATCATGTGTATATAATCGTATGGTTTGTCAGTATGAAAATTAAATAAAAACTTAAAAAAATCATTTTTATTTTATCCATATTTTCATAAAATATATCATTAATCATTTTGCAACTTTAAAAATTCAGGAAATAATTCATCATCTTTTTCCAACTTTAAAACCAAAGTGCAACCCAACCCAACCCAACCCAACCTAAACCGTACAAGTTGGTCGGGTTAGTCGGGTTGGTTGGATTGATATTTTGGTACATTAAAATATTTTTCTAACCTTGAATATGTTATTTCTTTACTCATAATTTCTTTTGCATCATCAACCATTTGATACAACTTATCCATATTTCTTATGTATATCATATTCAGTTAATTTTATTAAGTTACATATATATGTTCACAGTTACTGAACATATATACAAATGAATTATATAGAGCTGTGAATAGATTGAAAATATGTGTATCTGAAGAGCGTATGTGATACTGTAATTCTCTAATATATATATATATATTAATAGAAATTCAATAATCATATTAAATCCAAGAAATAAAAAATATCAGATTCATCGGGTTGGGTTGAGTTCAAATAATAGTAATCTAATATCAACCCGATACCTACCATTTGAAAATTTTACAACTCGATTAGACATCAGGTTGCTCCGGATTAAGTTATTCCGCATTAGATTGGATTAAGTTATTCCGCATTAGATTGGATTGACCAGGTTAATTATTTTGGTCATGTTTTTGAACACCCCTACCCAACCAATCTATCTCAATTAAATTCATAAAAAATATGTTTTTTTTACAAATTCTATCATTATACATGTCTTATCAAATATTTTTAAAATAAATCCGATATTGAATATTTTTTAATTTAATCATATTATTAAATTTTAAATAATGGTTTTAGTACTTACACTTTATATCATTACACTTAGTTATATAATTTGTTTGATTCCTTATCATTTCATTTTTCTTTACATCCTTAATCCTTATCATATTGATATATATTAAAAAAAAAATTAAATCCTTATTATATTAACATATATCAACAAAAATACATTAAATATATATATATATATAGCCATTTTTCATTTCACAAGTGTATTATTGTAGACACAACCACCACCATCCTCTCAACATGTGACTATTACAATCGGATATGTCAACGGTAAGGTATTAACCATAAGAGTACCCATTACCTACAAAATCTATTTGGTAATCCATGGCATGTGATGACTCGTGGGAAGATGATTTATAGTTTGCAAATAGTATTTTGATGAAAATTATATTAACATCATCAGCCATTTACTAAACACTTACCGAGTAAGTGCTTACCAATAAAATTTAACACTATTATTTATGTACCGGGTAAGATTTTAGTCCATAAAAACAACAGTGTATGCAACAATTTACCCGATAAGCGCTTATCGTGGTAAGAGTCGTCGTCCTCACTTACCGGGTAATTTGTATATATATGATCATTTGGGTTACCATATACAAATACACATTATACAAATACACATTATACAAATAGAAAAATATGAATTTATGAACAAGTCATGTTGAAGATTCGTCTTAATTAAATTATGACCTAAAGAGGGAGGGTGTCAACTTTGATTTGCTATCTATGGATGCTTCTTCATTAAAGACAAAATGAAACTTGCAAATTCATGAACCACAACTACGATAATATAACATAATTTCCCTTCAACGAAAACGATCATAATACCTAGCTTTAAATCACGTACGACTTCATTTTCCTTAATTTTTGTACAAAGTCTCATAAAACAAAACAGTTATTTGGATAAAGAAAAAGCAAAAGACTCATCCCATATGTGTTCTTTCTGCAGATTTCATACGATATCTTAATTTACAGAACTATCAAAAACCCAGAATTAATTGTATAGATGGATGGCAAATGGATGATTCTAAAACCGACGTGAATCACTCTCATAACTACGATTCCGAGACAGCCTTGAATCTTTATCTTTAGCAACGAGCTTGTTGTCTGAACCATTCAGATTATCATTTCTAAAAGAAGAAACCCTATCTTCATCAATTCTTCCCATCCCAAGACTGCAACTCCTTGGCACCCTTTTCCTAGATGCAGCCACTAACTGTTGTTGCTGTTGCTGTTGCTGTTGGTGTTGTATCATGTACCGTTCCACGTCAGCCCTACCAATTTGAATACTGCTCGTGGAATTAGCCCTGATTAGGTCTACTCCCGATGGTTGGGTGTCGTTGGATACCATGGTGGTGGTGGTGCTGAAGCTCCGTGGAAGTGGCGGCTTATTAATGATCATCGTCGGCTGATTATACGTGGTGCTGAAGTTGGTGATGCCTTTGACGTAGAACTTTTTAGCTTTACCCAGTGCCCTTATCGGAGTCTTGAAGATCCAAATGATCATCACTGCCTTCTTTTGAGATGATGTTTTGCTTCTCATCGTCTTGTTTTTGCTTTTTGATGTATTATAACACCACATTTGTTACATTTATCGAAGAAAGGAAGCTATATATATATATATATATATATATATATATATATGTGCAAAACCAAGTTGATTGAAATATTCAAAATAGGAGAGGACAGTTGTTGAATGTGATTTGGTTGACATCTAGACCTGATCCAATCGAATTGGAAGCAAGTGGTGGCCATTTTAGATAAAGATGATTGATGATATATTAATGACTAAATTATGTTTTCCTTCCTCATGGTTGTTCAAAATTGCGGTTTTTATCCTTGTGAATTTGAAATTTGCAGTTTTCATCGTCATGGCGTGTAATTCATTGTTATTTTTGTTTCTAAGGTTAACTCAAGAATAAAATAGAAATGAACTATAAACTCTAAAGGCTAAAACAACAATAAATTTTAAATAACATGAAGAAAACTATAATTTTAAAATCAGAAGAACGATAATAGCAATTTTCAAGAAACTACAAGGACTAAAAACGTAATTTACTATATATTGATTCTTTAATCATATACATAAGCTAGGTCAAATGTGCACTTTATTTCTGGGTGTCTACTTCCTATCTTCAGATGGTCCCATTGTATTTATTTAGAGGTGGTCATGGTTGACATATAAATTTATGTAGAAATGATTTAATTCAATTAATTTTTAGATTTTGAATTTTGATAATCAGGTGTTTTTGGTAAATTAACTAATTAGTTTTTAGCTAAATTGATTCCGATACAATCAAAAGACGGGGGTAAGGGGGCCGCACCTCCTTGTAGGGTCCAAGGGGCAGCGCCCCTAGCAGGAGACCAAATTTTTTTCGTATGAAGGCAGTTGGTTAGTTACTAACAGAAGTTTTTGGATCTTTAACTGCTGAACCTTCGATAACTGTCTAGTCTTCTCTTATTTTCTGGATAGAACCTTTGTTTTTGGCTCGAATTGGAGGATTTAGAACATTCAAAACACACAATAACTTAATCTAATTTATATGGCTAAGAAATTAGATTGATCTTTCTTGAATTATCCTATATTCAGAATTTCGTGCAACCCAAGGCTATAGGGTCGAAATATCTGATTCGGAAAGTGATATACACATTCTATGCAAGAATCCAAGCAATTGTGATTTCTGGAAAACCATCATATTGTTCACCTACCAACCAGATTATATAATACTTAATAACAATTAAACAATAAATTTTAATAAAATATGTTGCGAGATGTATTGTTTTGATTTGCTTTTATTGTATAAAATTGTTGTAATTGATTTTATGGCGTCACGTGTTTGATAAACTAAGGTTATTAAAGAAAAAACAATTAAAATCGACCATTTAATAAATAGTTTTGTTACAACTACCGTACAATAAATTATTTCACCTCAAATATTTAAATTAAAATAATAGTAAATTGAAATACATTAAAAACATATTATTTTAGTTTTTTTTTTTTTTAACAATGTGGATGTCTAAGGTTACAGTTGGATTGCACACCTCAATTAATTACATGGGGTCCTGAAATTAACAATGTAATAAATTCTCCAATTACTTGGATAATGTAATAAGATAAATCTTAATTTTTAATGTTTAGTTTTATTCTTTGTTTCTATCGATATAATATGGTTTTATGTGATTTTGAGAAAACGATAATGTTATTATATTTGAATGAAATACAAATTTGGAGATAACATAAAAATTTGAAAAACAAATAAATCGGTATTAGTATCAAATTAACTATTTGATAGTTCTCGTTTTTTGGTATAATTTTCTTTAATTCAAATTAACTATTTGCTAGTAATTTATTTTTGGTTTAACAATACAATTTTTTATAAAGATAATAATTAAATATTCTGTTAGAACTCAATGATTATCTTAATTATATTTTAGATTTTGTGTATTTAAAATGTATGTTTATCAATGTATTAGATTATATTTATCTGCAGTTAGTTACATGAATTTAAAAATAGAGTTTTAATAAGTTGTAATTACGTAAAATTACTTGTAATCTTGAATTTTCAATAATATGCATCAATAAACATTACTTCATGCACAAAAATAGTTTTTATCAAATGTTTTATAATATAATATAGATAATTACTTAGCAAAAACATATATTGAAACCCCCTTGTTCTTGCATCTTTTTCTAAAATGTCATTCATTATCGATGAATTCAAAATTTTAAATAGATCAAGATCTTCGGTTTAAAAATACTACAAGAAATCAAATGAAATATATATACGTTCTTACAAATGTCTATCCATGTTATCATCGAGTACACGTTATATCTTTTGATAATGTCCGTTTAATTCAAGTCATCAATGAAATAAAACGTGGTTTTAGAACACTTTCTAAAATAATTATAGGTGTTCGAACTAACTTCTACATATCTCGACTCATATAATGGGCCGTGAGGTTCATAGTTAGATAAACACTCTAATCACCCTATAAAAACTTTTTTTTTTTATTAACCTGGATATCCAACCCGCTATGTGAGCGGTGAGCCTACTAATCCCAGGACGACCACCTGCTTTGCAGATAGCTCGGAGTCATCGCATTTGAACCTTCGTGGCCACAAGGGGATTTTTATTCCTCCTTGGATTTGAACCTGAGACCTCCTTGTACTTTTGACTTTTAGAACCAAGCTCAAACCAATCAGACACCACCCTTGTGGTTAAAGAAACTTGAAATGGTGACATCTAGGAAGCAACCCTAAGGTCTAACCAGCTTAGTTACACCAAAAGGTTAATTTTCATAAAACATTTTTAAAACATGCATGTCGTATAAAAAACTAATATGATGATTGTATAATCATTCCTAAACCTCTTGGAAGATGTTACATGATTATACTACTAAATGATGCTAGCGGAAAAAGTCAAACTTCCAATATCTGAATAGCAAATCGATAAGTCTGAACTATTCAAAGCAATACATCAACTAAGCTATTATAGCGAGAGTTTTTAAATTGAATGATAAGGACCGTTTAATAAACGTTTGTCTAATAAGTGCTTACCGGATAATTTTCTTTACCGAATGAACATGATAAGGGTTTAGAATATATCTTACCCGATTAGAATGGTAAAATGATGGAGAATCTTACCCGATAATAGTGGTGAAAGAATGGAGAGTCTTACCCAGTAAGTGAGAGTGACGACTCTTATCCGGGTAAATTTTTGCATACTATATCGTTTTGATGCACTACAATTTTACCCCAGAAAAATAAATTATAGTGTTGACTCCTATCGGTAAGTACTTGTCGGGTGAACATTTAAGTAACCGACCCATAAGTCTTCAAAAAACTAGTTTGTCTCATAAGACTTGGAATAATAGATAGGAGTTCAAGTCTGTAGCTAAATTAGACAAATTCAAATATGAATCTAATGAAGAACTGAAACAAATTATGAGATGATCAATCAATTAACGGAACAGTAAAAAAAAGCTGATGAGTGGCGTTGTGTTTAAATACAAGTCATTAACGTGTGAAATGATTCATGAGAAACTCAAGAATGATGATAGCAATGTATAACAAACTAAACAAACGAGTAAAAATGGAGCCACTATTGAATATTTTTCAATTTAATCAAATTATTAAATATATTTTTAGGTAATGGTTTTTAATACTTACAAAATGGACCCGGTATCGAATATTTTTCAATTTAATCAAATTATTAAATATATTTTTAGGTAATGGTTTTTAATACTTATAATTTATACTCTTACAATTAATTATTTAATCTGTCTGATGTCTTTTTTTTATTTTTTATTTTACACCTTTTTTATATTGATATGTATATATATCAACTCACTTAATCAAAAATATGTTTCTTTATCAACAAATTAGACAATAACAATGTCTCAATACTTTTAAAATGAGCTCAATATTGAATATTATTTAATTTGTTTTATATTCGTTACTTTTTCATTTTCATTTTTCACTTTACACCCTTACTGTTACTGTTATTGCTACTGCTACGAACATAACTATCCCCGTCCTTTCAATATATTAGTTTAATTAATTGATAACATCACAATATTATTTTATCTCTAATAATGTTATTTATTAATTTTGTAAATTAATAAATAATCAAAATAAAAATCTTGAAGGTCATTTTTAATTTGTTTTTAACCTTAAAATTTTGATTAAATTAATATTGTTTTAATAAAATAATAATTACGAAGATTTCTTTTTGTTTTTTTAATCTTAAAAATATAATAAAGTATTAAAAAATACGTATTTTAGTTATCCAACCTTATGGAAGTTTGACTCTATTCAGCAATACCTTAATTTTCATGAAAGATATTGGTTATTTGTATTTTATCCCTTTTTCCGATACTTGATGGTATTCATTTAACATTTAGGTTCGATTTTGCTCTCATTTACTTTTTTTTTTTTTTTTAATTAACTTGGATATCCAACCCGCTATGCGAGTCGACTAATCCCAGAACGATCACCTGTTTTATAGGTAGTCCGAAGTCACCGCATTTGAACCTCCGTGGATACAAGGGGATTTTTATTCCTGATTTGATTTGAACTTGGGACCTCCTGGTGCTTTTGACCTTTGGAGTCAAACTCAAACCAATCAGACACTACCCTTGTGGTTTTCTCATTTACTTTATTGAAACAAACAAAAGGTTATTGATATTCATTGGTTATTTCAGTGTTTTAATACTTATTTCTTTTACCTATAATCAGCTAATTTTCTTATTTACATCTCAACTTTAAGTCTTTTATTTTCTTATTTTTCGTTTATTGTTTTTGGAGCTAAGTGTTATGATTTATCTGTTTTTATGGACAAATAGATGGTTAACTTACAGTTTTTGACAAATCACTCATGCTAAAACATTGATGCAACATTTGGAGATGGTGGTTAGAGACTTGAAGATTAATGAGTTTCTTGAAGACAATTTTTGGAAGCTTCCTGAACATTTTTGAAAAATCCTTCATGGTTTACGGTTCGGAAAAGTTGTTTTAGGGTTGTTTTAGCCTTTTGTCCCGTT